AAAAATTGTCATGAAAATGTAAATGTTTTTTGATATGTCATAACCAAAATTTACCATCAATATAATAAAGTTTGGACATAAATAATATGTTGTTGGCCAAATGAACATACGAGTATAATAGAATTTTTTTACACATTATATACAAATTTTAATTTTTTACGTTTAACAAAAAAAAATTTTAGGACGTCTATGAAACTCATTAGATTTTATTACTAGGCGTTTTTATACTTATTATTATTATTATTATTATTATTATTATTATTATTATTTTTTTTTTTTTCATTCGAGACAGGACTGTATTTTCCAAGTCTTCTTTATACTGCTGAGATAGCATAACTGTAGGGAACTAGATGATTTGGGTGCATCTGGTGGCAGAGTTTTTTCGTTATTCAAAAAACTTATTCATCATTAGTCAAATTATTTTCCATAATTCTTCTCAAATCGCAAAAGAATAAAATTATGAAGTAGCAAATCCAAAGAAGAAGAAACGCAAAACTCACAAAACATATAATTACAGAAATTAGCGTGACAGTCGCCTAAGTTTTTCTTAGTTGCCGCAATCGTGTTGCAAACGAAACAATTGTAAATTATTATCAATTTTTATAAATTCTATATCTCCATCCGCTTCTTGAAGCATTTACATAGATTAAATTTTTTAAAACAATTTTAAAATACGTTAAACATAAACACACAATTCGATTATTTTAAGATATCTGTTAGATGTGTACTTGCTTGCTTGCTATATTATCCCTTTTTATAGCCTAAATATCTACATTACTAAATAAATAAATATAACTGTACAGTATGATTATCTGCATGTCCTGGGAAAAACCTTTTTAATAGTCTTTAAAATAATAAGACGTTACACGGTTTTAAGAATTATTCGTTTTGTTTTATTATCATTTATCGATATCGTATCATATATCTTATCAGTAGAAACAAGTGCATTTGTTCACAGTTTAACCAATTCCATCAAATTATGGTAGTGTGACATTTTCTAAAAACCATATTAAGTGTCCCAAATGAGTAACGAGAACGAAAATGAACCAACTACATTTATACAACAGCACAGGGATGACTATGAAGACGATGGAAAATTTAAAAAGAAGGTGACCCTAAGGACCATACTCTGCAACAAAACCGTAAAAGGATGGATATTTCTAACGATATTTGCAGCCAGTGTTCCCATCTTAGTGTACTATTTTGTTATAGACCAAGGTACGTACGACGATGATGACTCATATACATGTTTAGTACAAGAAAACTTTAGAGTACCTTGTGGGAAATTTAACATTACCAGAAATGAATGCGAAAGTGTCCAGTGCTGTTACGATAGATCTACTCAGATTTGTTATCACTATTTGCCATCTAGATATTCCTATGATATCGATGAAGAAACTGAAACATATATGGCCTCACAGAGTACAACTCCCTTCGGTACAGATTCTTTACAAAAATTAAAAATGTCTATTAATGAAATAGATGAAAATAAAGTCAGCGTGGTATTATTTCAAGATGAAGTAAATGTTGAGGATCACTATCTAGACACAGAAAAAAATTACAAAGTTAATCTGGTTAAAGAAAAGCTTATGGTCGAGGTTTATAGAACTAACAACGATCTTTTACTGACAACTGCAAAGGGACCCTTGATAGCATCAGATACTTATTGGGAGTGGTCATTCTACCTAACAAATCATTCCCTATTTGGTTTAAACAAAACTCTTATTAGTGTGCCAGTGAACACAACTTTTACCAAAGTTCTATATAAAAACGATATAGATCACTCCTCGCTACCTGTCCTTTGGGCGTACGGTAACAAGAAATTTCATGGTGTGATTATTAAACACGATGGTCCATTAGAGATTACTATATTGCCTTCAAATTTGGTAATTTTGAGAAGTTTGACTGGAGATTCACTTGAACTAGAATTATCAGTGGGACCTACACCGAAGTTTCTTCATGACCAACAGACACAAAATGTTACGCTTCCTCCTCTTTGGGCCCTACAAACACACATGTGCAGGTAATTGCTACTATTTAACTATTTTCCTTTGTGTTTGCTTAATATTGTTTTAAAAGTACGGTTATATCAATTATAATCAAGAGGTTGTCACTATGACAGAAAAATTTAATTTCTTAAGAGAAATGCATTGTTAGCATCCAACCCCCACATCCATAGAAACCTTCATTTCCTTTGGTAATAAATATCGTCTTGAATTATCTAAAGCCAAAAAAATGCCAATGACAGCTATACAGTCTATACAATGTGGCCCATCGAAAACGCAGTGTCGAAAAAAATGCTAAAATACGTTGAATTTATATGTGAGGGGGGCAACTTTTGACGTGAAACTGATCACCCTTCTATGTGGGGGTGCCATTCCCCAAAATTTTTCAAATGAGAATAAGTGTCAAGTGATATGTCATTGCTAAGGATTTTTAATTCTCTATACGTTGACGCTCCGTTTTTGAAATTCGGTCAATTCAAGTTACGAAGTCTTGAAGTTTTATTAGTACATTTGACAAAAAATGCAAAAATTAAGTCGATTTTATTTAAAAACTTACCGTATCAACGAAGTAGGAGTTGAAAATGTAGTCCACCAATCTCCATACAAATTATCTTCAAATAGTCGTTGTACGATTCGTCCCCGCAAATCTTCTAGTGTATCTGATGGAGTGCAATAAAATTTACTTTTTACGTATCCCCACAAAAAGAAATCCAGAGGCCTTAAATCGGGTGACCGCGGAGGCCATTCAGTTGCGCCCCTTCATCCCTATAATATTAGTTAAAGCTGGTCCAATAGCACTTTCAAGCAAATCTAGGTACATGCCACCTGTCAAGTTTCCAGGAAGAAAGAAAGAACCAACAAGGCAATCTCCAAAAATACCAGCCCATATGTTTAATTTTTGGAAGTTTGGGTGAAATACCCCGGAGTAACGGCAGTTGTGACGGTTAACTGTACCATGTAAGCAAAAAGTACACTCATATGAAAAATATACATTAAATAGAAAATTGGCGTCATTCACTGCACGCTCAGTCATGACTTTGCAGAACTGCAAGCGACGATCTAAGTCGTCTTCATTCAATTCCTGAAGTATCTTATGGGGGTGCAATTTGTACTTTTTTAATATTCGCTGGTCACGAGACTACTGGGCCTATCTTAACAGGTTTTAATCAAATGAAATTATTTGCGAGCCAACATGCTGTAATTTTTTACTCACAAAAAACTATGAACAAGCCGAAATAATTTGCAGGAAGGTGTGACTGTAAAAAACAACAAAAATTCCTTCAATTTAATTAAAATCGATTGCATTTTTGCGTTTTTCATGAAATGTATTAATGAAACTTCAAGACTTCGTAACTTCTAAACGAAATGACCGAATTCCAAAAACGAAGCGCCAGTGTATAGATAATCAAAAACCCTTTTCAATTACATATTACTTGAACCCCATTCTCATTTGAAAAATCTTGGGGGATGACAACCCCGCATAGGAGGGCGAAATTTGGCCTATGAATTTGACATGAAAAGTTGCCCCCTCACAAACAAAATCGACGTATTTCAGCATTTTTTTCGACAATATGTTTTCCTGGCGGTTATGCCCTACGGTACGTTTTCGATGGGCCACACTGTATAAATTCATCTACTAATAAACAAGCAACAATGTGGAACCTCATAAATAATAAAACTGACCGCAGTTCACCTGTAACCGATTCATTAAACGCTAATGATTCCTATACTTATTTATTTTTCCAATCGCAGAACGTCTTTTGTGTGAGCTCCCACTTCCCAACAAGTTACCTTCCGAGTTTTTGTCTGCCCCAAGATCACAAACGACTTTTAAATTCGGAAAGTCGCCTTTTAATGAATGGAGAACTATTTTAAATAACATAAAAGTTAAAACAGGCGAGGATGCTTATGACTTGAATGTTCCAATCTTAGAAACATTATAATTTTTCCACTATTTAAACGAATTAATCAATGTACTAGCTCCAACGTATTTCCTACAGTTTCCAAGTTATCCAAGGTTATTCTTGTTTTTAAGAAGGGCGAGAGAGATGATGTATCTAACTACCGACCAATATTCCTGTTCCCGTTCTTGCAAAGGTTCGAAACTTTTAAAAATGCAAATTGCAGATTATTTTGGAAACAAGAATTTATTCCATTCTAGTCAATACGGTTTTAGGAACAAAAGGTCAACAACTCTGGCTATTAATCAGTTGAGTACGATTATTTTAAACACTTTCGAATCAAACAATGTTGTCATCAGTAGAACTTTTAAGATTTTTTTATTCTACGCAATAAACAGCCAATCAGGAATACTATAAGTGTCCTTCAGCGTTTACGCGAACATATTCGGAAAAAAAGACCTAGCCGAGACAAGGCGTATTTAGCTTCCACAACCTCCCTATTATCCTGATACATATAGCCCTTGTTGACTTCTACCTGTCTCCTAAATTGAAAATGTGGCTGAAAGGAAAGCGATTGAGTCCATTGAAAACATCCAGGCAAATATGGAGAAAGTTTTTAACATCCTAAAGAACAAAAACTTCCGGGAATGCTCTCAAAAGTGGAAGTCGAGTCGGTGTGTTCAGTCAGAAGGGAGATTCATCGTAAGAGCCTGTATGTAGTGCCATTTGGAAATTGCAAGCCCACTCTTAAAATGTTCCAACCGCATCTCGTAGTATCCGCAAATCAGTTTCTTATGTCTGTGTTATTAGAGCTTTGTCAAATGAATGCTGAATAAATTCTAAATAAATAGGAAAAGATAACGACTAATTTCTGATTTTTAAGTTTTATAGGTATTGTAAGACATGTTTTCTTAGAACATATCTCTTCTTTTCAAATATACAGGGTGTAAGAAGTTTGACTGCCATTACTTCAGCATGAGATAGAGTAATCACAAATTAACAAAAAAGTTGTATATTACAGGGGCGTAAGATTAACAGATTTCAAAATACAGCGAGTACTATTTATTATTGTGAAACATTTAGTAAATTTCAAGACAATTGTTTTCCAGTTTTTAAATGAATAAAATAAAATGTAGGTATTGATTTTGTAGTACGAAGATTGTGTTGTGCTTAAATTTTAGTACTAGCAATTTTTATGTATCTCTTAAAACAGGAACTTAACTTTTAATCAAATTACGTATTTGAAAAATATGTAATTGAAGTACCCAAAGATTCTCGCCGTCCTAATAATCATACGTATTAAATATAATTTAGGTACTTACCAAAAAGCAAAATTCAGTAATTTTTAAACGCACAAGTACAAAACAATCTACAACATATGCTCAAAATGTCCACCACCATTTTCGATGCACGCACGACACCTTCGAATCCAATTTTCGCGCACTCGCTGGAAAACACCTCAAGAAAAGGAAATAGTGGTAAGCAAAAAACACTCCGACACGGTCGAATCCAGACACAAACTAAATTGCATATTGCTGGACACCTTAGTACCTCGTGTTAATAAACCGCCGCGCCGCTGTCACATTGCTCGATATGAATTTTATCGAATTTTAAATTTATTACAACGCTAATTATTTTTTAGACTTGGGTATAAAGAAGTTAACAAAAGTAAGAAACATTGTATTTTATGGTAATCTATGCACGCAGTTATGTCAATAGGTATTCCTTAATTAATCGAGCTTTTGTACATCAAGTTGAAGACTTCTATAATTTTTTTTCTCGGAAATGGCTGAGTTTAGGACCCATGTCATATAAGGTTTTTTTGTTTATTTTAATGTATTCTATCGTCTGTTAAAATCAAGGCAGTCAAACTTCTAACACCTTGTATAAGTAGATCTAATTTTATTTACTACCTTTCTTCTCATTTTTGCTTGCTGAGAAGCAAATATATAGTCCAATTAACTAAGCCTTTAAATCGAAATTTTGCCAACTTGGCTGAATTTTTGATATGAGTTAGTTTAAGGTATATTATAACAATAAGTGAGAGTAATTTTTTGTTCAACCCCCGGCCAAGGGTGGAAAAAGATAAAACAAAGGGCTTTTTCAAGATAACTCAAAAAGGGTAAGAGCTAGAAAAAAAATGTTTTTCATGAAAGTTGTAAAGCAGACAATTCTACATAAAAATGGCCTCTTAACTTTTTCTTGTACTATTACAATTAACAGAGTTAGGGAGGCTAGAAGTTAAGGGAAGATTTCAGAAATTTAAAAAAAAATCATAACAAACAGAAAAATGATTGAATTTTGTAATTTTTTTTTCAATCTGCTCTAAAATATGTAACTTTTCTTTTCAGAGAAATAGATATATTTTTTAATTTTTAATAAGAAAGTTATAAAAAAAAAATCAAATTTTTAATCGTTAATTTTAATGATTTAACAAAATTAAATTTCTGAAATCTTCCCTTAACTTCTAGCCTCCCTAACTCTGTTAATTTTAATAGTACAAGAAAAAGCTAAGAGACCATTTTTATGTAGAATTGTCTGCTTTACAACTTTCATGAAAAACATTTTTTTTCTAGCTCTTACCCTTTTTGAGTTATCTTGAAAGAGCCCTTTGTTTTATCTTTTTCCACCCTTGGCCGGGGGTTGAACAAAAATTTACTCTCACTTATTGTTATAATATACCTTAAACTAACTCATATCAAAAATTCAGCCAAGTTGACAAAATTTCGATTTAAAGGCTTAGTTAATTGGACTAATACTTATCTTGTCCTGAGATCATAAATTTCAACTCTGTAATGATAACACAAATCTAAAGTTATTTATTTACTTATTTACAGGTTGATAGATATTTTTCTTCTTCCGGGAACAAGTCTTCCAAATTTGAATTTCTTTTGACTGCTCGATAACCGTAGATAAAAAAAAACTAAAAGATCTTGAAACTAGAGACTTAAAGCATCAAAATGTTTATTTTTATCTCGACAAGATCATTTTTCACCGAGATACAGCCTTTTAAAAATCACTAAAATATTTATGAAATTTTAGTTTATATTTGACCTAATATTTATTAAGGGCCCCGTAATAATACCTCGTGTGATTCCGAAGGTTAGTTCAAGTCCCTGGCCAGGCCCCCTGAAGCCAGTTTATTTGCCCTCTCGTTACAAAAGATACCCGTGTAGCCCGGAACCCAAACCAACTCTCTGCCAATAATTTGGCCAGTGACTTTAGAGCGTTTCCTTATTCCCGAACGAGGGCAGACCTTGTCCTCCAGGAGATAACCACTCTGAGCGCGGCCTGACTATCGGAGCAGATAAAAATCCTCTCCTCTACATAATTCCTTACCTCATCCTTGCTTGTCATCATCAAGATAGCGAAAACCTCAGCCTGAAAGACTGTGGCATACTTACATACCCAGTGAAAAACTTTCCTGGATACCACTGCTTTCCAGATATATTCCTGCTTCTGAATACTCGTCTCCTACCCGAGATCCATTAGAGCCCTCATACACGAGCCACCTTTTGCAGTCGGACCGACGACAAAATTGCAGTCGCGTGCTGGCGAACTGAGCGCTGCCATAAGAAACAATGTACCCTCCATACACGGGAGTGAACAGGAGTCGAAACGGGCATTCGCAGTTCGCTTCCGGCCGATTTTCGCCGGTGGTCACATCAACGTGCGCGCCGGCGTAGCCGTACACGAACCACAATCTTGCATTCGTACTCACCGCGATCGCGCGAATTTATTTTGTTCGTTTATTTCGAGTAGTCATTATACAGAAAGGACCTTTGTCTCTGTTAAAAACAATGGAAGAAACATTTGATACGGAGATGTCTATCAGCGAATCCAAAATTCCCTTCTTGTCGTCGAGTAGTCAGAAGTGGATGTATCCAGAGTGATCGTACTTTCCTACGTCTCCTTTTTCTCCTCAAAATAAGAAATAAAAGTGCTTCTTCTTCGAGGGGCATATTTAAACCGATGTGTTATGTGGTCAGGTTGCAGTCGCCTCGACTGTGACTGCGGTTGATACTACCGCAAGTCAACCACAAAAATGTAGTCAGGATGTGTTCGGGTCAACCGCGAGTTGCAGTCGACTTGACCACAAATTTGTAGTTACGTCAACTGCAAAATGTGGCTCGTATACGGCTGCCCTTAGTAAAGCATACTAGGGATCCCGAGGGGAAGATATCACTTTCTTGCTTCCACTGCTCTCTCAAGGTGGTGGTAACATACTTCCTTCCTAACCAAAGCCGGTCCCCTGTTTCCGTATTCCTCATGGCATATATTGGGATATCCGTCGCAACCCTGAGACAGCGTGACCTTTTTCGCGTCCTTCCGCTCTCCAACTGCATTCAATTTTTATGTACGTTTTACTAATTTTTTTTATCCTCTTTCCAACCATATGGAATTTGTATGCCTTTGCATAACGAAATTTTTGAGAAAAAATGAGAAAACCTTCAGCCTTTGACAGCAGTTTACGGTGCTCGCTTTCTAAATCATGTCCAATAAAAGCCGCTGGAAAAACAATTTTGCATACCGCTATCACACATATCGGTTTATTTGTAATTGCAAAGTATACCGGGGTGTCCAAAAATGGGTAACCGAGTTTATAGCTCAGGGCATTTATAATCAGACTGTAAATGATTAGTGAATATATTTTGTCTATACAGCGTGTCCCACTAGTGCGGGAAAGTCCAATATCAATGTTAAAATGAGGAATATATGGATTTTTCTTTTTACTGTGTTGCCACATTTCTCGGAATGTACAAATTAAAAATATATTCAACTATACAGGGTGTTCCACTTTTCCTGGACAGACACCAACTTTGGTTTTTTAAATGGTACACACATTTTTTATAATTTTTTCAGATTCTACATAAAAAATAAAGGGTACTTTGTGTAGAATAGTTTTATTCACAGATTTTGAGATATCCCGCTTGAAAGGTTTTTCTAATCGATATTGGCTGCTTACATTTTCTGATACTGACAGGTTATACTAATAGCTATTAAGCCCATTTTTTTTTCAGATGTTTAGTAAGGATGACTCTTCCGAATCATGCTCCAAAAACTGGCCTGCGTTATACAGGGTGATCAAAATATCATGTTAAAATTGCCAATTGAAAAATTGAAAAATCTCGAATTTTTTAAATGCAACACCCTGTATATTTTCATACCATGAGATGCAGAATTAAATTCTCTACATCTTTGCTATACCTGCTCCTATACCAAAATTCATTAGTTTTTCATGAAATCTCATTTCTATGAAAAAATGCGAATGCGAATGCGAACAAATAGCTTATATTATGTAAAATAACGTAGTAGGCTCCTGTCAAAGGACAATCTGGAAAAATTTCGATTAACATAAGGTTTAATAGAAAAGCGACAGTAATAATTGTGAAATGAATTACTCTGAAGAAGAATTAATAAATAAATAATAGAATAATTAGTAAAACTCATGGTAACTGTTTATTGACAACTATTTACCAAACTAATAATCCAGATTTACAAAGATATCCTCGTACAAAGTGTTTTGTAAAACTGAAGGGGAGGTTTGAAAGAACTACAAATGCAAATTATGATAAGACAACAAGAACACACGCTTGCAGTATCCAAAACTGTAAATTGACATCGTGCATTTCTAACAAAAGTAGTAAAGACCTAGTTACATTAGTAGTTAACAGGAACAGGTAACCGCTTAAAATGTTTGCCATTTTTCTCTAGACATTGAGCAATTCTACGACGAAAATTACTTGACACATTTCGCAGCATTTCCGGAGTTACGGTCAAAAAAGCATTTCTTATCTTTGCCTGTAAATCTTCTACATCTGTCGGAGGAGTTTCATACACCCTGTCTTTTATATAGCCCCATAAAAAAAATCAAGACAGGACAGGTCTGTGGATCGGGGAGGCCATGGAATTGGACCGCCTCTACCTATTCACTTATCTCGATAAAACCATTTAAGTATTCTCTAACCTGAAACAGTTTTTCTATGAATTTACATAACTTACATAATGAGAAAACTTACCGCCAGTGTGGAATGTGCAGGGGCATCATCATGTTGGAACCACTAACTGTTTAAGTCATCCGGAGGCATATGTTCCTGCAATTGGAGCAAATCGTTTTGTAAAAATTGCAAATACTCATTACCAGTTAAGTTTCCTTCAAGAAAATGTGGTCCAATGACATATTCTCCGCATATTCCCGCCCAAACGTTGACTTTAAAGCGGTGTTGATGATCGTCTTGTCTTATTAATTTGGGATTATGATCGGCGTAATAGTGATAATTATGTGGATTCTCTCGACCAGTATTGGCAAAGGATGACTTGTCAGTAAATAACATCTTTGAAAAAAAAATTCATCTTGTAACTTTATAGTTGCCCACTCATAAAACTGTACTCGTTTCTGACAATCTTGCTGTGTTAAGAATTGGTGATGCTCAGAATGATAGGGGTGGAAGTTGTTTTTCTTTAACGTTCTATTAACCACACTTTTGGAAATACTAATTTCATCACTAATTTCTCTGAGATGGATTTTGGACTGCACATCCCAAAATGTCAATTTGACTATCCTGATTACTACATGCGTGTGTTCTTGTTGTCTTCTCATAATTTGCATTTGTTGATTTTTCAAACCTCTCCTTCAGTTTTACAAAACACTTTGTACGAGAATATCTTTCTAATCTGGATTATTAGTTTGGTAAATACTTGTCAATAAACAGTTACCATGACTTTTACTAATTATTCTTTTATTTATTTACTAATAATTCTTTAGAGTAATTCATTTCACAATTATTACTGTCGCTTTTCTATTAAACCTTATGTGAATCGAAAATGTTCCAGATTATCCTTTGACAGGAGCCTACTACGTTATTTTACATAATATAAGCTATTTGTTCACATTCGCATTTTTTCATAGAAATGAGATTACATGAAAAACTAATGAATTTTGGTATAGGAGCAGGTATAGCAAAGTTGTAGAGAATTTAATTCTGCATCTCATGGTATGAAAATATACAGGGTGTTGCATTTAAAAAATTCCAGATTTTTCAACTTTTCAATTGGCCATTTTGACATGATATTTTGGTCACCTTGTATAACGCAGGCCAGTTTTTGGAGCATGATTCGGAAGAGTCATCCTTACTAAACATCTGATAAAAAATGAGCTTAGTAGCTATTAGTATAACCTGTCAGTATCAGAAAATGTAAGCAGCCAATATCGATTAGAAAAACCTTTCAAGCGAGATATCTTAAAATCTGTGAATATTTGAATAGAACTATTCTACACAAAGTACCCTTTATTTTTTATGTAGAATCTGAAAAAAATATAAAAAATGTGTGTTTCCATTAAAAAAACCAAAGATGGTGTCTGGCCAGGAAAAGTGAAACACCCTGTATAGTTCAATCTATTTTTAAATTGTACATTCCGAGAAATGTGGCAACAAGTAAAAAGAAAAATCCATATATTCCTCATTTTAACATAGATACTTATTGGACTTTCCCGCACTAGTGGGACACGCTGTATAATGCCTCGCGATGCAATTAATTCTGATCAAATGTAAAATAAAAATTGATGAAAATATATTTCAGCCGATAATAAACACTTTCCTTTGCATACATGTGCAAATAAAATTCAGAATACTCCTTATTTTAATAATCTGTCTCACAAGAATATACTTTTTAGGAGAGGAAGTAATACAAATTTAACCGAATTACTGGCAGATTATAGTTTAGACAGCCAAGTAAATAGTGACTGTATACATGAAAATTTGGTAATGGGTATTATGAAGGATAATAACATGAATAAGGATAATCTTAGAAGTATCGTCAAAAACATTAAAGAACAGGGAGCCCAGTTCTTATTATCTGTCCCACCTCATGTAAGTATGTAAATTATTTGTAGGATCTCCCACTATTTTATATGGTGTAAAAAATATAATTTTATTTAAAACATAGTCATATACTAGTTCGATTAAATAAATATTTTATTTAGAAGTAGGTACAATACTTGAAGACTTATCTAAAAATGAACTAATTAGCTTTAATATAAACCAAACGTAGTACAAAAAAGCTCTATTTTCGTAAAAAAAAGACTTGACAACGGTACCATGTATCCCGGACGTTACAGAGTTGAAGCGACAAAAGGCTAGGGGAGATTCCGCTCAGCAAAATATGTAAAAAAAGTCCATATGAACATGGGTCCGCAAGTGCTTTGTTTTCGAGAATCTTGGCATATCTCTGAACTCCATAAGGAAAAATAACAATGTTCTTTATGAAAACACAAATAAAACATGAAACGACATTGTCTCTAAAATGTCACAAAGTATTTAGTATTAAAAATACCCTCGAAAATACTGGAATTTACGGTCTTGTCCATTCTAAAAATTAATTTTTTAACAAAGTCCGAGTGTTTATTGTAACCGTTCTGCATTTAGTCTAGTTGAAAGTTAACAACGTTAGTTCTTAAATACCTATCTTGGCTGTTGGTAGTGAAACAAAATTATGGAATACACTTTTGCCGAACTAACATATCTAATTGGTCCAGTTGATGTATGATAATTGTTTTAAAAAACCATAAAAAAATCTCATTCAAATCAGCTGAAGCGTTTTTCTAAAAACACAAATTAAAAAATAACACCCTGTATTTCGGAAACGAAGCACTGGCGGACCCATGTTCATATGAACTTTTTTACATATTTTGCTGAGCGGAATCTCCCCTAGGCTTTTGTCACTCTGAAACACCCGGTATAATTTTTCTATGAAAACTGAATTTATCACGAAAATCTGCACTACTTTGCCTATAAAACAAACCATTTTTAATCTCCTTAAATGTATGTTCTAGGTGTTGCAGAATTACGAGGCGTTGTACAATAAATCAGTCGATTTGGATATTCTCTACAAATATAATAGCTCAATTTACACAGGAAAATACTTGAATGAAATTGTAGCATACCCTGATTACGATAATTCACAGATTCAAAATTATCTAAATGAATTTTCTAACCTACTTAGTACGTATATAGACCTTGAGGATATTGACGGATTCGTTCTACACGACAATTGGCCTGTTCACGAAAATTATTCTATGAACAGCACACATTTCCCGTATCTTTCACAGGTAAGATTTTATCATTTTATAATTTAGTACGATTGTGAGTGTTACCATCTTTCCATACCTTTTTTAAGTGAGAGTGTCGATCATTGATGTGATTAAAACCTGTTTTATATTTACCAATTTTTGGTTTGGTTTTTTCGTATTTTTGAGCATGTTTTAAATTCTGATTATACATTTTTTTTATATTACGAAAAAAATGAGTAACGGCAGAACTCCGTACGATGATTTTTGTAAATTAAACAAAAAAAATGTTGCGTACCGGAAAAATGAATATCTGAAATTTCTTGATTTTGTTATATTTGTGGCTACTTAAGACACAGAAAGATATTCTTTCACTAATTCTCGTCAAAATTAAATTATTTATGCGGACATGAAAAATAAAAAATGAAAGAAACGAAAAAAAATTTCGCATTTTTCTCGGAAATTTTGAGGTTAAGTTAAAAAGTGACCTCTATAAAAGTTGTAGATTTTTGCATGATCTACAACATATTCAATACCTTTTTTAATGTCAACTTTCCCAGGAAATCGAATCAATCCCCAAATCACCCTTCACCACCCCTGCTAACGCATTTATTTTTTTACGTTTATATAAGCCTTTTTCCTTTTCCGCTTATAAAAGTCCAGGTAACAATTTTTTTTCCAAGTGTAATTTGACTGGGCTAGTGCGAGTAAAATAGTGCAAATAAGTTGAAAAAGCTGTAAATTGTTTATTTTTTGCTTATGGTACAATTAGCACGTAATATCACACTGACATGCTATTTCTCATGTTTGTGCGCTATTATCAACTAAATATATTCAAGAACACAAAATATATTATACAATACGAGTATATTAAAAAAATTTAGAAACAGAAATTTATAGAAATAAATTATATAAATACTAGAAAGTTGTTAAAATATGCAGTAATAGGACTTATCATAATATGTACATTTTTTTATTCTGTTGACAAAACGAAAAAGTAAACATAAAATTATAGCAATAAATATGAGATAAATGGTTAATTAAAAAAATATAACATGAAAAACCTCTATTATAGAAGTGTTTAATTCTCCATTGAAAAATGGTGCCTTGAATTAGTATCTTGACATCTAGGTACCCATCATCCTGTTTTTATTTTTACACAACGAATAATTATTCAAACACTTAAATAATCACAATATAGAAAAAAAATTCAACTAAAAATATTAACATCACAGTTGATAAATTACCGCAATCCGTTACCATTTTGGGAATCCCTATTGCCAACCTTGAAATATAAGTTTGAATTTTCAATATATTTTCATTCAATTTCTTATATTTTCTTTTTCTTCATATTAATAACATAATTTTCTGTAGGAATTACGAGACGCTATGTCAAATACTCTACCATGGAACACAACAAGTAATGGATCCACACTCCATATTAACAACCATAACGCTTATGGCACCTCCCAGATGTTAAGCTTCCAAAACTATTTCAAAAACATTTCTATTATCATGTCCGCATCACTGACTTTCGAACAAACTGTACCCTCGATGATTCAAAACGTCAACGCTTCCTGGACTGACCTTCAACTGCAGACAGATAACATGTTGTTTATGAGCATTTTTGGAAACCATCTAGTTAACTTGCCCGTGTGTGGAGACACGACCTTCTTTAGAAGTTCTTTGCAAGAAACTTTATGTTTGCGATGGTATTTAATAGCTGCAACTATGCCGATGTTTAAAATTTCGTCATTAGAACCATGGAGAGATCCTAGTAATTTGAACTCTGTGTTTGCTCAAAACACAGCTTCGAGCACAATTGAGCTTAGGAACAGATTGCTTCCTTATTACTACACCATATTGAACAGAAATGAACCTGTCATCAGACCAATGTTTTACGATTATTATGAAAATGAGACCACATTTTCTTTGAACAACCAGTACATGATAGGAGAAAGTATATTAGTTGCCCATCCTTTTTCCACCGGCAGGAATAGACTGCAGGTTTATTTGCCAAGTCGCATTGAAATATGGTATGAACTTTGGGGCGGTCGTATGTACAATTCTACGAAAAATGCATGGACGGACTTTGATATAGTAGAAACAGATTTCATTGCTTTTATCTCACAAGGCAATATTTTACCAATTAAGGTATTTATGAAAATTTAATTTTTCTACATCTTAATTACAGTTTCCATGGTACATACGAGGTACGAGAAGAGTCAGTAAATAATGTTTATACAAATTGTTCATGTTTTATTTTTTCACATAGGACTCTATAACACACCGGTCTAACCTTCTAAGTTTGTGGATACTTTTTACAAAAAAAATGTTGGTGCTGTTTTTAATCAACTTGCGTTATCCCAAGTACCTTATTATAATCTGTAGACTTCTATTTCTACAAATGTTCTTCGAAAGGTCCAAATAAGTCTCATGAGCGAGCAGCAAATCGGAGGTAACAATACTTTTTTTTGAGTAAATTCCCGAGCATCCGCTAGAATTTCACCCTTTCCTGTATTGTATAAAGTCAGTGATATCCCAAAAATGTTCAGATTCTAGTTATTGACTGTTTCATACTTTCTGTAATGATGTACACAAGACTCGTCTATGTTTGAAGAAACATTTGTAGGATCGGAAAGTTACATGACGATGGTAATAAAGGTGGTGCAAAGTAGGGTAATATCCACACCAAAAAATTGCATCCTCAAAGGGCATTCGCAAGTTGATAAACATATGGACCAGGTGCTTTACAATGGGTATTATGTTAAAAAGTAGGACAAAATTTCTGCAAGCGCTCTTACAACATTATCAAACAATGCCTGTTATTTAATGACTCATTCGTATAATTAAAAATAATTATCAAAGTATGATGAAGAAACGAAAATAACAAAGCTTGAAGAAAGTATTGCAATCAAGTAAAATAAATTTGCATTTAAATTATTTTTAGAATCAGCATACAATAATAACTGATTTCTGTTTTTGTATTATTATTTTGTATACTTGTTGTCAAATTACAATTTAATTGATTAAGGTCTTTTTCAGTCCTAATAAATGTATTTGTCAACTAAATCTATATCTACTCCATAAAAACTAACGAGAAGTGACAGACACAGATTTGATTGGAAATTAAACTAACTTTTGGCTTTGAGTATTGCTATAACTGGTTGAACATTTATTCCCGTTTGGTTCCTATGTTAAAGGTTAACAGCTTCTAAAAGTTAGTACTTTATTTTTCTGTAACTTAATAAATGTAATCGCTCATTGTTGACTTTTTTCAACTGAGTTCATGCACAACTAGTTCTGCATTCTACTGTTACCACATATGAGAATTATAGTTCTTAATTAATAATGTATTGATAATGCCTTATTACTCAGCTGGTTCTGATGAGACCTAGCGTTCAGATATCTATGGGTGTGAGTAGGTTTTCTGTAAACGCTGCGTCTTAAGGTTTCCTCTCCACATGGACTTCTAGAAACGACGGTGTACAATTTCTTCCAAGTCCATGGTGAAGCTAACGTCCGCAGTTCAGAAAGAAATCTTTCTATGTTCTTACATTCATGAGGTCAGATAATATATCGTCAATATATCTGAATTAATATATTGGCTTCAGAGTTGCTGCTTGCAGAGCTGATGGCAAACATGAATACGTAGCGACTCCTTCAGTTTACTTATAAAACTGATCCCAAAAGGAGAAGAATATGTATATGTGCATACTTTTTCCAAATCAAATAAATAAGCCGTCCAGCTTGGTTAATTGGTACTTTTGTGAATAACGACATCACGTCAAATCTCACTGGAATATCATGTAGATCTAGTTGGATTCCCTTGATCTTATCAATAAAATCTCCAGAGTTTTTGTTATGGTGTTCCATCTTCCATGTACCCTAAAAAATTGTTTTTTAATTGTGTTCTTTATCCCTATGCCTCAACATTCTTGTTTGGGTTATTCTTGACTATTATAACTGCTTTTAAATTTCAAGGGAGTAATGCTAATGTAATTTTTCTTTTCCAGGAAGAAAATAATTTGGACCTAATCATTGCTCTGAACTGTACTACAAAACCTTGCGAAGGAAAAGGAACATTGCTCGACTCTAATTATATAACTTTTCAATCAAACGAAACAGCTTTAACTATCAGTGATATTCCCAAAGATAATTGTAATTACACATTGGGAAGCATAAAATTATATTATTATGAAGATGATATTAGTACTAGCAAGCACATAGTCAAAGACGAGGATTTGTGTACTGATGAAGTTAACGTAACGATACTTTTTAATGAATTAATGACAACTGATAACTGGAGTGATGCTATATATACAACACGCGCGCTCTTATAAAACAAAATTATACTTGTAACGTCAGAAATAATAGACATGAAACGCTACTGACTGGTTGAACTGATGAAGTCATGCAAACCATTATTTTTTAGAGCGCGCTCGCTGTATGGGTGCTTTTTTCTATTTATATTTTATAACATATAATATTAAGTATAACATATTTTAGCTAATTGCAGTTTTACTTCTTAAAAAAATATATTTTTTTAGACAAATTTCAGGCCTATCTTATATGCATCTGACTGATTTAAAGTACAAAATAACAAAAAAAAAACGAATATCTGATACGTTTTGACGTCCCAAATTACGCACACCAGACTTTACTTGGTGAAAGAACTCAAAATAAGAAATAAAGTACCCATCAATATGGGTCAGGAAATTCTTAGGCTCGGAGATACAGGGTGCTAATTTAAAATAAATATCATATTTATTTATTTATTTATTTACTATATCCAACAGGCCAGTGCTTAATTACAGGATAATGATAGCAGACTATAATAATAAAAAGAGAAAACACAATCCAGCTAAAAACCACAAAAACACACAAATATATAACAAGAGAAATGAGAAAATTTCAGATCAAATTTAATGTACTCTAATGATTTTTTGATGTCTCGTTCGCTGACAAATTTTTTTGGGGGTAGTTGACATTTGCCCATAGAAACACTTATTCTAATATCTCTACTCACAGTCATACGATTCGCTTCAAATTTCAGGAAGAGATCAAATTTAATGTATTCTTATGATTTTTTGATGTCTCGTTCGCTGACAAATTATTTGGAGGGTAGTTGACGTTAAACCTTAGAGACACTTATTCTAATATCTCGACTCACATCATACGATTCGTTTCAAATTTCAGGAAGAGATCAAATTTACTGTATTCTTATGATTTTTTGATGTTTGGTTCGCTGACAAATTTTTTTGGGGGTAGTTGATATTAACCCTTAGAAACACTTATTCTAATATTTCGACTCACAGTCATACGATTCGCTTCAAATTTTAGGAGGAGGTCAAATTTAATGTATTCTTATGAATTTTTGATGTTTCATTCGCTGACAAATTTTTTGGGGGGTAGTCGACATTAACCCTCAGAAACACTTATTCTAATATCTCTACTCACAGTCATACGATTCGCTTCAAATTTCAGACGATCAAATTTAATGTATTCTTATCATTTTTTGATGTCTCGTTCGCTGATAAATTTTTTGGAGGGTAGTTGGCGCTAAACCTTAGAGACACTTATTCTAATATCTCGACTCAGTCATACGATTCGCTTCAAATTTCAGGAAGAGATCAAATTTACTGCATTCTTATGATTTTTTGATGTCTGGTTCGCTGACAAATTTTCTTGGGGGTAGTTGACATTAACACTTAGAAACACTTATTCTAATATCTCGACTCGGAGTCATACGATTCTCTTCAAATTTTAGGAGATCAAATTTAATGTATTCTAATGATTTTTTGATGTCTCGTTCGCTGACCAATTTTTTTGGGCGTAGATGAAATTAGCCTTTAGAATACTTTAGAATAACGAAATACAGTCCAAATGGACCACCTCACAAGATATTAAATTATTAGACAATCACTTAGTGGATGACATATTTTACTATAGAGAAATACCTAACAGAGGATATACAGTAGGAATCTACTCCGATATTAATTTATATTTTCACGAAATCGTCATTGCCGATTATGTATCCCTAACAGGTGATGCGTGGCTAACAAATTTTGTAGTTGAAATATGCTTAGCACTAATCGACTCAAATAAATTATTTCAAGTTGTACCTGAATATATAGCCTCATCTATATTTAATAACTGCGAATACGACAGTGCTTTAATGGAAATATTCGATTTAAAAAAAAACCATACCGTCATGCCCTTGTTGATTGGCGGAAACCATTATTGCCTGGTTATGCTATATTTGAAAGAAAAAGAATTTCATTTCATTGACCCGATGGATTCCAATTATAACAAAACCAAAAGGTACAGAGATAAATTTGAAATCTTTATACTTACTATAATAAGCATAAGGTAAAAACAGTTTCCAATAATTTCAATATTGTGGTTGATAAACATATTATGCAAACAGATACATATAATTGGGGGTCGTATGTCCTTTACTATTTTCAGTGTATAACAAAAAATTAAAGTCTAACAAAAATATATTCAATGAACGACTATCGCAGAGATCTTAAAAATACTTCAATAAATTTCGTTAGCGAGCCGGACATCCCAAAAATTACTAATTCATATTAACGTAGATATATTTGCAAAATTTTAAGGAGGCCGTATGAAACAAAATGTTTGAAGATACTTTTGAAGGGTTAGTAACCACCCTAATTATTCTAGTAGCGACTAGAAATCTAAAAATCATTAGTATTATTTAAATATCACATGCTTTAAATTTTTAGAGAAAACTCTTTAATTTGGTTTTATGTAAATTAATTATAGTAAAAGAAATTTAATATTCATTTAATAATCGTGATATAATTATACATAATTTTCAAATTTGTAATCGAACTTCTCATGTTTTAGTGATTTATCAGAAATCACACTACTTTTGACGCGCATAATTTAGTCGTTCCCTACTGTTCTTACTTCTTTGACTTCGTGGCGAGTTCGGCTAAGTTCGGGAAAATTAGCTGCTAACTTTGGCTGCTGCCTTCACACCGGTAGAGATATTTTCCAACAATCAGGAAATGTATTTGTGGATAATATTAGATTAAATATAATGAGAAGAGGTTCTGAGAAAACCGTAGCATGATCAAAAAAGCAGGTATGAGATCAGGTCCCATGGTCATTTTAGGTTTTATTTGTTTAATAGAACTAAAAATATCATGGAAAATATATCTAAAGATGTTTCATGTAAATAGATAAAAACTTAGGATAATAATTTTCTCAATAAATAACAAAGAGTCACTAAATAGGTATACAAATCTGTCAAACGGTGACAAATATACTGTGAGGCACTGTCGCTAAGAACTCCAAAATTTCATCCTGTTTTGTAACATATCTAATACGAGGGTCACTCTAAAAGAATACACATTTTTGTTAAATCCAACTTTGTTTTACATCTTTGCTATTCACGGAGGTCTTAGAAACATTATTCCTGCTTTTATTCAAATTTAATTCAACCTGATTCCGCAAGTCGCGCTGTCGTAGCACTCGTCAAGATAGCTGTTACTTCAATGTTCGTCTGAAACATAGACCTTATAAACTACTGCTAGGTCAATGGTCTGAAGCAACGTGTTGTTGTAGAGTTCTTGTGTTGTGAGAACGAGACAGTGACACATTCACAAGTGTTTGAAGGTGTATCAGGATGACGCTGTTGCTCGCAGTACAGTTAGTTATTGGACAATCTGGTGAATGTGGACAAGTCGACACGCCAATACTGCGAACTTCCTGAGCAGCAGTAGAGAACTGACTCCTGACTAAGTGATTTTGGTTGACAAACACATAATAGTGAAAGAACTGTCAATCCAAATGGGTAGGAGAAGCGAATGTGTGCAGAATATTGAGACTTGAGACAGTTGAAGTTGAAAAAGGTTTGCGTCAGATGGGTGGGAAATCCAAAACTGGGCCTGCAGCAGGAAATGTAATGGCTACTGTGTTTTTTGATTCAGAAGGACTGTTGATTGTGGACATTATGCCACACGGAACCACTATCAATTCTGACCGTATGTGGCAACCCTAAAAAAACTTCATGATCGGCGATTTTGGGTGGTTTATTCTTTTTCTCGAAAAGATATAAAAACAGTAAGATATCGCGGGCTTGATATTTTGAAAAAAATTAAATGACGAAAACCATATATCAGTATCTTGATTCGTTTAAAAGACACAAAGTTTTGACTGCTTTTCTGTAACATCAACTAACTTTTTTTATTTGTGAGATTTTTCAGCAAGATTTTTTTATGTTTCGATTTTCAATTACTTATAAGTGAAATTAATATTCTTTGTAACATTCTAAATATTTTTCGATCTTTGAAACCTGCGTAAAATTTTCCTTCAGATAATGTATTATACAAAATGTACCTATATGTATAAATATTTTTTTAAGGAAAAAATATCAAAAATTGTACGATTCAATTGAGTGAGCAATACATTTTTTCATCGACATGTCACACACATTAGCATAATTTTTATATGGAGAAATAAGTTAAATAACAAAAAGAAATGAAAAAATAATAAATTATTTCAAATTAGGGCGCTGCGTTTAAAAAATATTGCGTACGCTACTAGTAAAAGCTACTAAAAGCTGAGTAAAAACCATTTTATAAAAAAATTCGCAAATAAAAAAGTTATTCGACACAAAACGGTAATAAATATAATAGCTATAAAGAAAACCGAGATGTGGTTTCCGCCAGTCAAGTTTAGATGATATTATATCTCTACGGAAGGCAGATATATGTAGTTATTTTCCTAACAAGTACGCAAAGTGTTACATTTCCGCAATCAATGCAACGCGAAGCGAAGTTCGGATAAGTTTTTGCCTGCGCAGAAGGCACTTTGTGCACGTGTTAGAAACAAAATTTTTGCTACGCGTCCCAAGTGAATGTAGCATAATAAATACGAGTGAAGTAAGCAAATAACCAATTTTATTTTATAATGAGTTTAGTAGATATATCGGGGAGTATACTAACCTAAAAACTAGAAGTCAAGTCAATAATTATTACAATTTGTTTTTATAATGGTAAATAAAAAGTTTCAAAAATAATTTAACGATACATATGGGACACTAGCGCCCTCTTATTTTTGTTTACATGGAGTTCGGGCTCCTTGTAGTCTCCATGGCAGATCCGGTCAGTTCATTTAATGGTACGGCTTGGCTTGATGAACACTGACTTAAAGCGGAAGGGCAGTTAATATTATGCCTTGATGAAGGTTGATTTAACTCAGAACGGTTGTTCAAATTAATTCAGTAAAGATGTCATTTTATAAAAAAAAATTCCAAACAGGGTTGCTTGGGGACTGCCCCCTGAGTGTCTAACCAAAAGATCACACTCGAACTCCTGGTACGAATTGCGCTGCTCATTTTAATAGCGTTTAAACCTCTTTATGATTTGATGGGAAGAAAAGTGTCGGTGTTTGTAGATTCTTGCTGACATAGAAACGGAGGAAAAATCTGACATTATGTGTCAAAGTAGACATGTGCACTTATTGTTACTTGACAATATCATTTATCATCATACAAAGTACTTAAAAAAATATTTGTTTTTTTTGTTTTAAACTGAAATACAAATTACGATTAAAAGGTTAACGGCTTCTCACATTGCATAAAATACTTTACATCTACTAAAATAAATATAAATTATTGTGAGATATTTCTAAGTCAGGCTTCAACTAATCCTATTGGCGACGCAAGGGGTTATTTATTTAAATTTATTTTCTCAGTGTAGCAGAAATATCCAATTAAATAAAAACAATAAGTAAAATATTTTTAAGAAGGAATCTTAATTTTCAAAAAAAACTTGCTCTATGTTGCCGAGATGTTGTATCTAATAGTCGGGAGGTAATCTTCTACACGGAAGATTCAAGTTCCGACTATTAACGGAATCCATTAAAATTTTCTACATTATTAGAATTATTTAATTATGACTTTTAAGAAACTTTGTCGTATACTGTTATTTCCACTCGGAAATGAATTATTCTGTTAAGGTAGGTCACTTCCAAATGAATCCACCTGCTTAGTAACCAGCGAAGGAAGTTCGAGGGTTATTGACATATCGTTTATACTTGTGCACAGACTTGTAACGATATACATACAATGCGTGTTGCGGTTTTAAAATTTTGTTTAATTTATTCAATTTTGTGTATAACGGTTAAATCATCTGGACAATATAAAACTGGTAAGGAAATATTTACATTTATTCAAGAAACGTGATAATAATGTTAGCACTATTTTCGGTTTTTTTTTTAATTTCCTAATTATTTGTTTAATGTGAGTGTAAATATGATTTTTTTATGTAACTGCGTTTCTACTCATATTTTGCATTATTTTAATCTTCAGATAAGTATTATTTTATATGCGTTCTACTTTGGTGTCCCAAATTTCTTATCATTCATTAAGTCTGCAAATAGGAGGTCATGTATGTCTACTTTTCTTTTTATTTTGTTCTTTGCAACAATTTGTTCGGTTATGACAACTTAGATTTTTAATAAACTCTTTGTATTTCGATCCACTGCAGTGCCAATGATTTCTAATCCCGCAAAGAGAACATTTGTGGCGAAAAAATTTCAAATAAATTTTGCGAAATAAAAAATTAAAACAGGGGGTGTTCATCCCATGATTTAGAAAAGAATTGCATGTATATTTACAAAATATATTTTTTTCATAATCAACTGTTTTTTTTATTTTTTGAAAATTTTCATTTTTATTAGTTATGAATTTTGAAAAATGCGATTTTGGTATCAAATTAAGATTTAAAAAGATATAATTACAAACAAAATTTAATTTTGTAAAAAATTGAAAAAACGTCTTGTATGTGTCGGTCGATTATGAAAAAAATAATGTTTGGGAAATATTTGGGATTGTTTTTACGTTTTATTGAATTTTCTTTATAAATTAATCCGTTTATTTAATGAAAACTTTTAACCAGTGACGTGCTACTAAAGCGTCCGCCAACTTTTCCCAAGAAAAGAATATGTCACTGGCGGTTTTTTGTAGAAATAATTTTATTTCTGGAAAAAATATCAAACTAAATAATAAATAACATTAGCAAATAGGTCGGGTAAGTAATTAAGTAACGAGTCCTAGAACAATTATTCAAAAAGAAATCCTTCCGCATCGATACACTTTTGACATCTTCTAATCAGGCTATTTATAGAGGAACTTATCACGGCATTATTTTCCCTGAGGGATTACAATTTTCCTCCATTCTTTGACACAATTCGTCTCGTGTTCATAAGTCCAAGATGGACTGCATCTTCAGGAATAAATAAACAAAGCTAGTTATAATACTAAAACGAGATCATCATAAAGCTTCCTAATTGATAATGCAGACAAAAGGATCAACTTTTGCAGATGATTGTAAACAAATATGAGTATGTGCACCAACGCGCATTATGGTCGGTAAATAACTAAATTATTTTCTAAACAGCTGCTACTAATAAAAAACACCAAAAAGTAGTTTTCATTTATTTAACGTAAAAATATCTGAATTTAACATTATTTCTATAAAAAACCACCAGTGTCGTATTTTTTTCTAGGGAAAACGGAGCGGCACCTTTAGTAGCACGCCACTGGTTAATGCCACGAAGTTCATATTACACTCAATAAAAGGTCTAATTAAGTGAATACGTAAATACTGTAGTAAATTTCATTCAAATCGTTCAGCGCATTATGAAGGTATGACAGAAAATATTATTTTTTTGGAAACTTGAACACCCTGTATCTTGAATACCACGTCCCCCAGAAAAAAAGTGTATAAAGTACTCTACTTATTTTTGGCAACTAATCTATTCCTGCAGTTTCTGTATATAAAGTGAAATCACCCTGTATACGAACTTTTTAAAATCCTAGGGTGCGCACTCCCTAGTTTAATTTCTTGTCTCGCAAAATCCTACCCACAGTTTATCATAATTTTTCGCTTCATAGGTCTAGAAGTCATCTCCTAAAAAAGGTATAAATCCCACGTCTCTTTATAATAATATGATCACAACGATTGTGACCAGCAGACGCTAAGGAATAAAAATTAAGATAGAGACGTTCAGTAACAAATTAATAATTTCGTTCTAATGCACAGCATATTTTTATTCTATTTTAAAGGCAGTTAATTAAAAATATTTTTTTTTTTCTAAAACATCTCATCACATTAAGTCAAACAATGTTCTTCTATACCTACCAAAAATTTAGGTATGTCATAGTTATCTAACCTCATATATTACAGGAAACTACTCTATTGGTTACATACTCCGATTAGCATTGAATTACTCCAGCAATACCCAGTAAATAACTTGTAATAAATAAAATAAAAACTAAAAATTATATGTCTCAATATAATTAATACAAAGACATAAACCTGATAAAATTATTAAATAGTGTAACCATTCAAAGAAATATCTATATATATATTTAGCTTTCCCATTAAATTTAGAGACTGTAATCAGGCAGCCTCTTTTCATGTAGAATTAATAAATATTAATAGAACAAAATTATATACAGAGATCAAACTTTTAGAAAACCATACATTTTATACATAATTTTGTTTTATTTGAATTCCATACGAAACCCGATGGAACAATCCTAATGTGGAAATAAAATTAGTTTAATATCTTTAATATAGAATAAAAAATAATAGAATATAGTTTTTTAAAAAGAAATTTAGTAAAAAGAGCAAATATTGAAATAGTGGGACGTTGTCACTTCGTTCGTCGGCGGCGAAGTGTATCTGTCACTATGACGCCTAAGCGGCGGCGCGGCGGTTATCTCGGGCGCCAGTTTCTGATTAAAGTACAGAAACACCACTACTCAGGCAGCTACAGTCAGGACGCAGTATGTCCAGGATTTAGAGAGAATTGGATTACTTCGGTGATTCTCCTGGTGTTGGCGGACTGGACTCTTCGCTTCAACGGATGGAGAGGAATTCAATTTCCAACTCCAGTCTAATTTCCAAGCTTCTACGGCGAACGGTGGTGACTGTGCAGTTTTCGCAATCTGAACTTGTAATATTTTACCAATTGGGACCTTCCTGGTGTTGGCGGACTGGACTACTCGTTGCGATCGACGGGTGGAAATAAATTGAATTTTCAAACTAAGCTTGACCAAGACGGTGGCAGCTGCGCAGTCTTCACAAGCTGGACTTAATACAATCTTACTTACTTCCAACGGTGACGTTTCTACTGCGGGGGCTGGTGACGGACTCTACTGTTCGTTATGGATAACTGAATATTAAACTTCTAATACGCCTCCACTGCTAAGCTTCTAAGGCGACGGTGGCGACTGTGCAGTATTCACAAAATTTTGCTTACTTCCAACGGTGACCTTGCCACTGCTGGAGCTGATGACGGACCGGACTACTCTCGCTGGTTGGTGGCTGCTAATTGACTTCAGATTCAGAGAACTTGCTAGGCAGGCAAATGCGTCAGCGACTTCGCGCTCGCACCGTGATTTGTTAATTGAGTCGGAGTGAAAAATGCAAATGGCGGTGCGGTAATATGAATTCATTTAAATAAAAAAAAAGAAACAAAGATGTGGGGTGTTTCAGAACTTTGTTATTTCCACTAGAAAAATAAAATGATTATTCTATACAGTATTCGGTGCTACACCCTAATCTACCCTGAAAAGAAAAATAATGTTTCTCGGTTTATCATTCCTGGCGCCGTTTTCGGGTACAATTCTGCCAGAACTGCCACATCTCCAACGTAATCTGCATCGTTTTACCGGTTGGTGGTAGGTCAGACAATTTGTCGCTAATTGTAGAGGCGGGCGAAAGGGAGGTCAAACGGCGGAGGGTCCTGAAGTCCGGTGATCGGGTGATAGCGGAATATTGCCTAGGGAGTCGCAAGGCGTCGAGATGAGAGCCTCGAGTGGTTGAGTGTGTGTCTCCGATACATTATTGGGACTCGTCATTGCCTGGATAGTCGCTGGTTTTGCGGGACGGGTCCGCTTTCAGCTTCCCGTATTGGTCACGTGTTGTGCCCCCAGGTGGGTTCGGACTTGCCTAATTAAGGCCCATCTTCGTTTCCGCGCCGTGTCTAGACGTAGGGCTATTAGGACTCTTCGGGGTGGTTCCCCAGGCTAGCGGGATGGTGGCCAGGGTAGCCGGTGGCTGCTCGACAATAAAAGAGGTATACGGTTTTAGATCTTTGATGTGCACTCGTTTAATCCTCTTTCTGGCATTTGAGTTAACATCGTAAACCATCTGTTACCTGGTAGAGAAAAAAAAAAAATCATTCTGTTGATTGACGACGACTACTCGGTTCAAGGTTGATTTGCTGTAGTTTGGAGTCGCATTGCTGCAGGAATACGCTCCATCTGGTTAGATGGTTGGCAGGACATTTGATGGAATGTACCGCCGCAGGGATTGATGGTCGGTCAGGACGGCGAAGTGACAGCCTTCAAGATACGATCTCATCTCTGTTCCCCACACTATAGCTAAACAGTCCCATCCAGTGAGTAATTCTTTCTGGCAGGCGGCACTGTGCGGCTAGCATACGCTATTACTGGGTCATATCCATCGATGTTCTGGATCAAAGCTGCTCTCAGTCCATAGTCGGAGGCATCGGTCTGAAATGTAAACAGTTTCACGAAGTCAGGTTAAAATCGGGACTTCGGTCAAGCAGTTCTTCAAGTTGTTAAATGTCTCTTCTTGCTCACTGGTCCACTTGAAGCAGTGATTTTTCTGGAGTAATCGGGTTGACAGCCACAATTTCGGAAAATTCCGATATAAAGCGTCGATACCAGGAAGCCATTCTTAGGAAATGTCGGACGTCTCGGATGTTTCGAGATATTCTTGATTGATTCTACCTTTTCAGGATCGGTTTGTATGCCCTTAGCGGTGACGATATATCCTAGGTATTTGAGCCACTTCCTGCAGAACTGTCACTGGAATGTAGCGGGTGTTGAGTGAAGTCCAAATGGGCATGACTCGAAATTGAAGCAGGCCTCGGCCGGGAGTGGTGAAAGCAGTGATTGGTTTGCTCTCAGCGGTAACTGATATCTCCATGATTTAAGTCCATGAAGATATATAGGGTCTTGCCGAGCTTATCCAGTATTGCATACGAAAACGGGTAGACGTCTTTTTCGGTAATCTCGTTAACTTTTCGGAAATCGATGCAGAATCTGAGTTTTATAGCCTTTTTGAGGACTATGACGACGGGTGAACTCCATGCACCGCCGGACGGTTTTATTATTCCATTGCGCAGCATTTCATCAACCTCCTTGTTGATAATTTGCGAGCAGTACCTTTTGATCGGTTCGAACTACGAAAGGCAGATGTGGATCAAGCTGATGGTACCATGTAAATCCTTGAAGCTTGGTAACTCAGTCTCCAAAAAGGACTTTAGCTTCTCTTCCTCCTTTAAAGATACGGTTAACAAAAGGCCATTCAATGGATCTACATCGGAGCTTGGTGTTGAGGAAATAACTTTAATGCCTAGGATAACGGTGGCAAGGGATGGATTTATCAGGAAATTGTGCTTCCGGAGGAAGTCAATTCCTAGAACAACATCGGAAGATAAAGTTCTGAGACACCATAGGCTCTCATCAAATTATTTACCACCTATCCGGAATTTGATAAGCCTTGGGTTCTTCTTTATTTTTTCGACCTGGGGGAATCTCTTGTCATAATTCCAGACTATCCACATCGGGAGCAGAAAAGTCACGGCTGTGCTCGGCATTAGCTTCGAAAGTGTCCACTTTTCCCACAACGCCAGCAAATAATGGTTAAAAGTTGGCAGCGGTTGTTCTTTATGTGCACGGATCTCTTGCGGTCTACGATCTAGTCGGAGTTGTGTTGTTCATCTAGTTCGCCAAGTGGATTAAGTCTTTCTGTCGAAGGCGTCTGGGTACTTACTGGTGGTACACATACAGTAGCCGAAAAGAAAAGCGGCGACGGTGTGCACAACCTTCCTTAATAAACATCATTACCATACGTCCAGTTGTATGTTTAACTGCTCCTTCCTGATCCTGTTCAACCGATCGAAAATTTTCTGAGCTTCTGGATTCTTCAGTAGGTTCGGGATCGGACAGGATTCGAACTTCTTCGCTTGACGTCATTTTGTTCCGGTGCGATGCAGGGGGTGGAATTCTCGAGGCGGAACGATCAGTTTGGTCTGCGGTGTCAGATCCAACTCCTTGGAGCGGTATGAGTGCGGAATCTGTACGAGGAGGAGATGATTGCGGAAGTCTTCAGTCAAAAATATTTGCTTGTTTTGCGGTCTCAAAACGTCGACTTCTATCTCCTAAACTTGAATAGTTCGGCCTAAAACTGTCAGCGTTGGATTCTGCGCACTCGATTTACTGCTAAAAGAGGAGTCAGGAGTTAGCTAGCGGTTGATACTGGATTTTTAGAATTGTCGAAGGTTGATTTCACCAAATTTCATTAAGATTTGTAAGTTTGGTAGACCCTTTTTCAAAACGGTTGCTCTGATCGGGCGGTCTCCTGCGATCCAAATGGTCTGCCACTTCCTGTTTCTCTTGAATCCCACTTCTCACCTGGGTACGGTAGACCTACCTGCAGAACGGTTGGTCAGATTCGATTCCACCACCAATCGATTTCTGGAGTCGAATTACCTTGAAAACTATGTCCCACATGGGTATGTTCTGGCCGGGCATCTTCGGACACTTCATAACAACTCACAACAAAACAGCAAGACATTGTTACCCATTTTCACAAATGATTCATTTAAATACTACTGAATTAATCAATTAACAATTAATAAGCATGCCAAGATACTTTGCCCTTATTAACATTGTATTTAAAAGCACAGGCACACACTCTCCACGTTCTTTTATAAAAATGAGATCAGTCATAATATAAGATCGCAGAGTCCGACTGACAGCAAAGACACATCCATTGATAACCAATGTTTATGTTAACATCACACTTCGGCTCTTTCAGCTTTACTAAAAATAAATATCTAATAACGTATATACTATGTCCCTAACACATTTATTTTGTTTCAGATGTGAAAGACATTATGACTCTTATGACACCATATTATGATCCTGTATCCAAAAGTCCCTTCAGAATAACAGCAATTGCGAATTTAATAACAAATAGTTCGATGAAGGTGCAATCAGGAACAAAAAATAATGGAAATCAAAGGTTGAAAATAAAAATGCGCAGATTCACTTTCAGAAGCAATGGCTGCAATTGTTTGCAACTAAACTGTGGTTGCTGTCTAGGAATCAATTTGTCACAATTCAATTTTAACAGAGAAGGTAAGTATCAGAATTCAAATAGTTTCAATAGTGTTAGATTTTATTATCATATAGTATCTACATTTGATGGTTCTGCATACGTACAGCACAACATATGTAATTCAATACGTTCATTCCGTCTTTGTTTATTACACAGAGCAGGCGAATTGTGGAGGATCTGCAGACTGAAAACGATGTGCGGTCTGTTATGCGCGTCTTTCGATTTCTGCTCATCTAAATTTGGTTTACACTATAGTAGCAGTACTTCCTAAATGCTCTCTAATGTCAATAATATGTCAGCCTATTCATCCAAATAACTAATTAAAACAACTAAGACAAAAAATAGTAAACAACTGTTAGCTTGTATGCAAAACGACTTTTTGACAATTTGACAGAAGCGTAGTAGATAAAAAGCAACACTGAGAAATGGTTACTGATTTTAACAAAAATACTTTTTAACATAAAATAAAATTTTAGATTATAATACCTTCAAAAAAAGTTATGCCCAAAAATGTCACTGCCAAAGATTGTAGCTGCAGACAACTAACGTCTTAAGCACTTTCAAAAACTTACCTGTATCAAATTTAAAAATAATACTTTATTTTTTGAAAAAGATATGGTTCAAATTTATTTAAAAAAATTAAAAGCATTTTTGATGTAGCAGCAAAATATCGTGTTATTTTTTGATGTTCTACAATATCCTGAATTCATGGTATTTCGTAATAAAAAATCACTTTCCAGTCCCACCAGACGCTTAACACTGTCTTTCAAGAATGAAGTTTTGGTCTTGTTCGCGGAGTTGCTGGTTTTTTGGATCTTAACTACTCTTTTCGCTGTGTTAAGTTCACGTACAGGTACCATTTTTCATCACCAGTGACAATACGATGAAGAAAACGTTCGTTAAGATTATACGTGTTGGTGATGACCACAGATCAAACCAGCGGCAATTGCGGAGCGTTGATTCTTATTGTTTTCATTCAAAACCCAAGCGCCGAGTCTTTGAACTTTGCCCATCGAATGCAGGTGATTTATTACTGTTTTGTGATCACATCCCATCTCCTGAGCTAATTTCATTGATTATCTTGGATTTTCATGAATGGGTCGATTCAATTTCTCTTCATAAAATTCGACATGTCTTTAAGGTTGAAGTCACCTTTAAAACGCAAAAACGGGTTGTTCATTCATTCATCAGATCATCACCGTATACGGCACAAATTTTCCGAACAACTTGAGCGGTTTCAGCGTTTTACCCGTCTAGATTAAAAACAAAAAAAAATCAATATATGAATATGATCAATATCATCAACCATGAAGGAGAGCCAGAATCTACTGATAGGTTACATAAAGTAGGTACGTACCATAGTAGATTTCTTCAATAATATGTTGACTATTTACAATCCACAAAAAACATTGGCTGTAGATGAATCCATGCTGTTGTGGCGAGGAAGACTTATGTTTCGCCAATACATAAAGAATAAAAAACATAAGTATGGTATTAAATTTTATTCACTCACTGAAAGCACTGGTACTGTAATGAAGGCGCAGATATACACGGATGCAGCTAATGATATGGGTGGCAAAGGGCACGCTGCTAATGTTGTTCTTCACCTGATAGAGAACTATTTGGATCAAGGATATCGTATTTATAAGAACAATTTTTATAATTCAGTAAGTCTTGCTAAACAGCTAATTCAAAGGCAGACGTACTGTATAAGTATTCCAAGGAAAGCTAAGTTGAGTTCTGGGGATACTATTCAAAGGTATGGTGGGCAAGTTTGCGTAGGAAAATGGAAAGATAAAAAAGAGTTCCTTTATATTTCAACAGAGCACGAAAACTCTTCAGAGGAAGCAACTTCCAGAAGTGGAAATAAAAAACTGAAATCGCTACCAACCGCTGAATACAATGAGAATATGTCCAGGATTGATTTACAAGATCAAATGGTTGCATATTATTCATCTCATAGGATCAGATGATATAAGAAAGTCGCATTTCGTATAATAGAAATGATGTTGTATAATTCCTTTATGCTGTATAACAAGTTTTCTGGACTCAAAAAATCGGTTCTGGATCTTCGCCAATTATTGAATCATTATTACCCGAAGAAATAATAAAGGAAGGATGCAAAAGTGAAGGTAACAAACACTTTCTATCTAAATGTGACATAGCTGAGTGTGGAAGAAAACTTCGATTGTGTTCACAACATGGTATTAGAAAAGATTCACTGTACTATTGTGCTAAGTGCCCGGTTCAACCGGACTGTGTCTTGAGTGTTTCGAAAATTTTCATAAGTACATACAAAATTTGTATCTACTTGTGAAAATTTGAATATTGTGCGGGTCAGAGAAATAAGTTTTTGTTTTCTGCCTTTAATTTTCGTTCGGGTTAGTTTTTTATTTGACTTTTTTTATATGCATATTGGTTGATGAGTTTGTTATTTCTTTATGTGTAGCGATTTGGTGGTTAGATGCGTAGATATTCACGTGATGCCGCCGATGAATTTACATCACAGAAAACGTAAACAAATATCATATCGGTATATTCGTTGTTGGAAAATTCCATAATACCTACTTAATTTCTAGTAACTTCCAGTAATGCAATTAATTTTCACATATACGTTTGTAAACAACTTTGTTTTTTATAATGACAGGTACCTACTAGATAACAACAAATAAAATATTTTCATACATTTTTCTACGAATTAATGCAGTCGATACTTTAGACTCAATTTACTCGAAAACTGTTCATTTTTGAGCTATGAAACAAGAGTACATTTTTTGTTCTGAATTTATTGCAGATTCAGGAAAACTTAGTTAAATGACATAAAACTAGGATAACAAATAGCCCGGGAGGCAGCGACATTATTGATGTAATTATTCCTACAAAGCTGATTTTTTTCTCATTTTGTTGTTTTGATATCGTAAGTAAACGGAACGGCAGTCTACCGCGCCAATGTGGGGGCAAACGTTAGTAACAATTTTTTAAACATGTAAATAAATAATACTTAAATGCCTTATACCTACAAGGCTGAAACTTTTTAGAGTGATCAATTATACCTAAAAATACAGTATAGTGATAGTCTACCGCGTCGGAAGGGGGGCCATCAAGGGTCTACCACCCACGCAAGGTGTTGAAAAATTAACTTTTTTGACTTATTTCTACAAGGCTGAATTTTTTTTCTCAAATACTTTAGTTTATAAGAGAACCAAAAAAAACAGTCTACCGATCATCTAAGGGTGCAAAGCTTTGATAGACGCAATGGAATGCACGATCTCCCGAGCGCAGTCGCTGCGCCGATTCACTGTAAGCCGCTCTGAATAATAACTCATACCGGGATTAAATTACAATCTACAAAGCTGCTTTTTTGTCTATAGATATCTTACAATAATTATTGTCAAATAAACGTCTTATACCTTCGATACGAGGTGGCTAAAGCTTCGGTAGACGTGGCGAAAGTTTTTGCGCGGAAGTTGCTTAAAATTCCAAATTTATTATTAATTA